GGCTTCGCTCCCCAGAGGCGCTTCTCCGCGTCCGGGCTTGTCCTTGTGTTTTCAGGTCAGGACTGAGGGTTGTGGGCACCGGGGATCTCCTGGATCTCCTGCGCGACCCCTGGAGAAGCTTTGCTTGGCCGCAGGGTGGGTGTAGAGACGAAATTTCAGCTAAAAAACCCAACCAAATATCCCTCTGCTGCTCTGCTTTGGGCTGCCGGCTTTGACAGCGCGTCCTGCTCGCACAGGTGTGAGGAGCAGCCTCCCAGCTTCTTGGGGCGGGTGTCTGCCTGAGGCCACACTTCTCGTCGGGTTACTAAACGCTCTTAATGCTGAGAAGAAGAGCAGAGGAGTTCAAACGGGGTATTCGCCCTTGTAGGATGTACCTAAGGTTTGGACAGAGGAGATGGCAGCTTGTGAGAGAACATGGAAGTGGCGGTTGGTGTGGTTGGAAAGGCTTTTGGTGCAGAAAGTGGCGAAATTTTAATTATTTCTGAAGAGAAGGAGATTTTGTTTTCCTGCATCTCGTTGGTGTCTGGCGTTGGTGCTTTTCGGCGTGGTGTTGTTTCTTTTACAGAGTAACAGGAAGAGCCGAGACATTGTAATTCAATTAACAGTTAATGACACTAGTGCATAGGAAGAATCCACAGCTGACTTGGGCTAAGGGGAGAGTTGTCGATGCCCACATTGCCTCACCTTTTATCTTAAAATGACTGAACGCTTGGCAGTGTGTGTAAAGAGTTTTTTTTGCTTGACACTAACAGCATTCAAAACGGGTAACAACAACTTCCTGAGGGTGTATTTATTTAGTGTTGACAGTGATGTCTCAGCGGTTGTTACGGGCTCTTGGAGCAGTCTTAAGAAGCAGGCATTAAACTGTTGGAGAAGGGTTGTGGTCCCAGCTGTGTTCTGTCCTGGTTGGGTGTCCTGCTGCTGCCCTGACCCCTGAAGAGCCATGTCCTGAAGCAGGCTGAATGCTCACAGCCCCTTTTGGCTCCTCGTTTTGTTTTTCTGTTATCTGTATACAGCTGGTTTTAAATCTTGTAAAATAAAGGTAGCTCATCCGTTTTTAAGGATACGTGAAGAATTAATGTTCCCACAACTGACACCTTTCCCTTAAGATGAGGCCAGTCTATTTCTCAGAAGTCCCATGTCTTAAAACTCGGCGCTCTCTCGGCTGAAGTCGTTGGTTTTCAGAATGTATTTCTGAAAAGTTAATGACTGTTGCCTAATAAACTTGGATAATTACATGCAGCCTGTTTTGTACAGGAAGAATTAATATTGATCTGTTTGCACCCTGCTGTTGAAAAGCAGAAGGCAGCTCTTGTTTGGTGGCAGGTCTGGTGCAGGGTGTGCTGGGGCTCCCCGTGCCTTGGTCGGGGGTCAGGGAGGGGCCACAGGAGTTCCTCCTCCTCTGACCCCCTTCGCAGGGAGCTTAGGAGGATTTTTCTCCTATATGTGGGGTGCCCACAGCCCGGAGGCTCCTTGTCAGGCCTGGGAGGAATTTTGCTTTTCAAATACCTCTAAAATTAGAGTAGTTGATGTAATTTATTGGATGTACGTTTGATGTTATCACTGCCTGCAGTGTTATGGGTTGTACAGCTTAGAAGCAAAACGGCCGTGGTGGATTATTGCCACACTTAGTGCCAGCTTACCCCAGGAAAAGTGACACTCTTCTGAGTGGGCTGGAGAGATACTTTTGGAGCCCTGTACTTAAGGTGCTTAGGTGAGCGTGGCGTTGTAGAACGTGTTTGGTCCCATGGTATTGTTTCCCACAGCTCGTCTCTAAACCCTCTTCTCTTGCCTTCTGTGCTCAGGGTTTTGAAAGGAGACGTTCTGGCAAATCCTCAGTTGGTGTGTTAGGTTCCCACAAATGTAACAACTGTGTTTAGTTCAGGGGAAAGGTGCCATTTAATGTCAAAAATGAGTATGGCTATTACAGAAATTAAAGCACCATCATTACTGAGCTGAATTGCATGTTCTGGCTGATTTAAGTTTTACAGCAAGAACTACAAGTCTCAAAAGCAATTTTATGTCTTTATGCTTTGGAAGAAAAAAGATTATGGGGAAAAAAAAAAAAAACCAAACACACCAGAACAGCTGTAAACCAGCACAGTTTAGAAAAAAAGTAGGGATAAAAAATGTTAAAAGGAAGCTGTACCACTCAACTTTTGAAAAGAACCTGGTGTGATTCTCTTTGCCTGTTTTTTGCTTGCTTTTTTTTTTTGTAGGTTTCAGTGAGCCACATGACAGTGATTAAACATGTGACCTGAACAACTTGGAGTCCAAATTCCAACTTTAAGCAGAATATGCACTTTTGATAGAGAATCTAGCACTAAAGGCTTTCAAGGAAAAAAAGTAGCAACACAATTTATTTAGAAATGTTTGTAGCCTCTTGAGATTAAATTGCATGACTCAAAACCGAAACCAAATCAAACCAGAGTAAATTCATTGCAGGTTATTTTATTTTTTGTTAAACATTTGGTAAAACAACAAACGAGAAGGTTCAGGAAGGTCTCGAAAACCATTTTCCTCTCAGAGAAACTAGACTGTGGCTGGTTTCTAATGAAGATTGTTTCTGTTCTCACATGTTGCCTCAGTCCTGGTACCTTCCCCAGCACAGGCTCAGGTTGTCAGCCTGGGAACTGCGTCTGCACGTGGCTGCACGGTGCACCTTGGATCAGCCTCCTGCCTTTCCTGCTTCCCTGAGTATCCCAGCAGACCACACAGACCCTGTCCCTCGAGTGACACGCTGTGCCCTGAGTCCCTGATTGCCAGGGGAAGACTGTGGCTTAACACGTGCACTGTGGAAGGTCATTCCTCCCCAAGCTTCCAACCAGCACACGAACTCTGGATGCAACCTGGCCAATCCATTCCAAGTGATGCTCTTTTGTAGAGGCACTAGCACGCAGCACAGCGTCTTGTTTGGCCTTTGGAAAAGTTCAGTGGTTCAAAGAGCTTTGGCCAGTCAGTTTGAGCCCTCTCCCATTGCTGCTCAGGCTGATGCAGTCGTTGCACGTGGAGTTTTGCTGTGGGTATGCTGGGGTGATGATCAGCATGACACGATACTGGTCTGATGGGTTCACCCCAGAGTCCCATACTGGTAGATTAAGATTGCTGTCTTCAGGTTGAGAAGAACGGGTTTGGGCCATTCCATTTTAACAAAACAAAGAAACACAAAACCACAAAACAAAACAAAGAAACACACAACCACAAAACAAGAAAAAAGAAGAGAAAAGAGAAAAGAATCACACGACAACTTATTAACTAGAAGCCAAAGAAAAGAAAAGAACCACATGACAATTATTAAGAAGTAGAAGCCAAAGCACTGAACACTGGAACAGAGCTGACACGCTCCTGCCAGTAGCATTGCCCAGGAGACCCCTCCCAGACAGCCCAGCGTGCTGGGAGTAGATCCCACGTTGTTTTGCCCACAGCTTGATTGCACACAGAGTGAGCTGGAAGTTCTCTGTTTGGCACCAGATGTAGGCCCTTGGTACCTGCAACCATTTAAGCTCCGTACACAACTTGTATCCAGGCTTCTGAGGCAGGAGTCCTCTCCAGATCTAGTGTGTCAGGAACAGTTTGCATAGGCAGTCTTGCGAAGACTAAATCGATTTTGGTGCCATCAAATTCAAACTTGGCAGCCCGTACATAGGCACCTTCAACAGCTCTTAAATTCTTTATTTCTTCCTGATGTTTCAGTCTTTCAAAGAGTGAAAAAGGTCTGACCTCTCGACGTGTCGAGGAGCAACACAGAGTGTGTCTGCACCTCTGGTGTGCACGCCCAGCCTGTATGAGCCAAAGGTGAAGATTCTGCCACAGATGTTTGCTGCTGCCGCAGGGGAAGTTTCTTGCTTTCAGCAACTTCAGAAACCCACTCATGCACTAAGTTACTCAGTTTCCTAAGAACAACGAGCCCATGATTAAGTTCTTTCTTGTCTTCAAACACTCCAAATGGATTAATGGTTTCAGCCAGTTTCTGAGTTTGAATTAAGCTTATGTTCTTAGGACAAGGCGAATTGGAGAAGGAACTACATAGTGCTTCTGAGGCTGGTTCTGCAGCCTAGAAGTGCCACACGTGTCCTTCGTGGTGCATGCCACACAGCCCAGTCCTGTGATTCTAGGACTGGCTTGTTACTTTCAAGTTGGAAAAGCCAAAACCATTTATTTAGAGAGAGATTTAGTGCGAGTCTCATAAGAGCTGGATTAGTTCTGGAGAAGACCTTGCAGGAGACAGCTCTGCACTGATGATAAATTGTTGTGTTGCTGCCTGTCATCATTTGAGGTTGTGCCCCTCAGCCACGACTGGCCGTTGGTCTTTGCTCCGTTGCTGTGTCCCCTCCTCAGATTCCTTCCCCTTTTTGTGCGGAACTCGGCTAGAACAGGAGTTAGGAAGTGAGCTCCCCGTGCCGGCATGAGCCTTTCGGAAGCAGCTCGTACCTACTTTGGTTTGCAGCTGGGAAGCAGAGGTTGTTCAGCTGTTACAGATGTCCTGTGCTGAATTCTGGTGCTCTGGGAATTCACACCACGTGCCTCTGGCACGATGAGAGCCGGAGTGAAGCGGCTCTTCAGGAGCAAGTCGCATCTGATGTGGACTTTCCGATATTAATTGTCTTTGTTTGCTCTGTGAATGTTTTCAGGCGGGAGCTACTTCCATGTGGGCTTCCTGCTGTGGGTTGCTGAATGAAGTCATGGGGACTGGAGCTGTCCGTGGCCAGCAGGCTGGTTTTGGGGGAGGTGCTGGCCCCTTCAGATTCGCACCGAACGCCGACTTCTCGGCGTACCCGTCTGCGGCTGCGGCGGGCGCCAGCGTGGTGTGCAAGGCCTGCGGCCTCTCCTTCTCCGTCTTCAGGAAGAAGGTGAGTGTGTGTCTCCCCTGCTGAGTCCCTGCTGCTCTGAACCCATCCGCAGGCCTGCCCGGGGAGGATGGTTTCCTGCCATAGGAGACCTGAGGCAGGTGGCCAGGGAGGGAGGAAGGGCCTTGCTCTGAGGTCACAGGGAATTCGTGTCAGGCAGGATTAGGAGTTAAGAGGTCTGATGTTCATTAACTGGTGACACTGAATCCAGTCTGGCCGGAAGTTAGCAGGTACTGATCTGCGGGATATGTTTTAGCCTCAGAATCCTGAACCTTAAAACATTTGGTTTTGCAGATGATCCCAAGCACAGTGGTTGAGTTCTGGGATGAACAAACTGACTGATGGAAAAGCTTTAAACTCACAATATAGTGTCACAGCTTCTTCCTGTGAAACACTCGTGTAATTCTGCTAGTCTCCTAAGCAGGTTTAGTTCTGTTCAGTCCTGTCACATTCCAACAGCCTCTTGTATGGGATTCATCTTGCTTTGAATTCTTTGAATCAATTGAGGAAGAATGTTCTTTAAAGTTTGGGGATTATGCTGTTTTTTACACATGTGATAAGAGCAGTGACACTTGGTATATGTAAAACTATTTGTCAGGGCAGTTTTCTAGACTTCAATTCTAAAATGAGGAATGTCAAAATTGAGGCTGGAATGAGTAATAGTAAATTTTGTAGCCTGGAGATGGGGAGGGTCTGGATTAGTCTTCCGTGGCCTACAGCCAAATGGTTGTTTTCTCTCTTTCCTCAGCACGTGTGTTGTGACTGCAAGAAGGATTTTTGCTCCGTTTGTTCAGTCTTACAAGAGAATCTCCGAAGATGTTCCACTTGTCACTTGCTGCAGGAAACAGCCTTTCAGCGGCCTCAGTTAATGAGACTGAAAGTGAAGGATCTGCGTCAGTATCTGATTCTGCGGAACATACCCACGGACACCTGCAGAGAGAAGGAAGACTTGGTGGAGCTGGTGCTGTGCCACCGGGGGCTGGGCGCGCAGGGGACGGAGGCTGGCAGCGTGC